CTATTGGTTCTATCGATTTTTAGCAATGTTTTTTCATGGTAATGATTCTGCTACTGGGGTTGGTTTTTCGTTAATACTAACATGGGATTAGTGAATTATTGATATTTAAGGCACTGTCTAATCCGTGTTGAGTCTCAGAATCTGGTTTTGTCCTTGAAATTGCATGCCCATTTTCTTTATTTATGTACTTTCGCTTGGCACTGAATTTGGTGGCCCATCTGGGGCGGTTTGTTGGATTGGTTATGTTTTTATGTATTAACGTAGTAGAAATGGCTAAACATGAGCGGACCAACTCTTGTTTCTCGTACCAATTTGATTATGCTTAAAGAATTGCTGGTATGTAGGGCACGTTGTAATGCGTATTGACTCTTTATAGCTTTCCCTTTACCTCTGTTTTACATGTACTTTGCGTGCTGCTGAATTTGTTTGGTGGCTTATTGGTTTCATTACTTTCTTGTTCCCATCTGGGGCACTTCGCTGGATCGGTGTTGTTTTCGGGACGTTTTCGGGCTCTTTTTTATTTATTTACTATTGAGATTTTTTTTTTCACGTTCCACCCTGTTTTCTAGGGTTTCTAAATTGTGAGACAGATAGAAAATCTTGTTGCCGTTGGTGAGACTTTGCGGTGACAGGAATCAGATCAGCTTTTCTTACAAGTGGTCTTTACCTTGTGTTTTACTACCTCTTAAGCTGGTTTTGTTCCATGCACGTAATGTATGATAGAAGCATGGTAGTTTCATTCTGTGAAACAAAAAATTGTTTCTTACAAGCGCATGTAAGAAGCGCACACAGACACACAAAAATTAACGAGTTTTTAGTCTTACACTGCTATTCGACATTCGATTTGTTCTGTACTGAATGGTTGACATGAAGTTATCTTCTGCTTCCCTCGTTTCTCACCTTTCCTTGCTTGTTCGTTCCCAAAAGAACAGAGAACTGTTCTCAACCATAAATGTGAATAGGAATTGGTAGTTTTGTCCCAAGAGCAATTTCTCGTTTCTAAAAAACCTGTTCCAAAGGCTCCGGCCTCTGAACATTGTAAGAAGAGGTGTTACCACTTTGAAAGCACTTGTACCATGCAGAGGACTCTTAACTTTTGGTTTGCATCCATTTTCAATTCGAGGGTAATCTAGTGGTTCAACCTTTTAATGGGCCTATTAAAAGATATCACTTGAATTCTCGCATATATATTTATTTTTCTGGGTTATCTAGTGATTTTTTTGGGTTATGTTGATTTTTCTACCATCTGATTAGTTACTTTATCTTGGTATTATTTGATAGGCTCGGATTAAGAAGATTATGCAAACCGATGAGGATGTCGGAAAGATTGCCATGGCTGTGCCCCTTCTTGTTTGTAAGTAAATAAATATGGAGTCATGCTTATGAAATGGTGGAGATATGGTCCCTTTCTATTTTCTCTCACATCACATTTCTTACTTGGTCTCCATAAAGTCATGCTTATGCCGATGCCATGAATGGTTCCCCTCCCCGCGCTTTCTATTTTCATGTGCTACATTTATTTTCTTCAACTTGTTTTTCTTTATGTCAGTTCTGTTTCATTCATATTACCAACTAGATTTGTAATGAAATGTGCAGCTAAAGCTTTGGAACTATTTTTGCAAGATCTATGTGACCGAACTTACGAGATAACTCTGAAAAGGGGAGCCAAGACCTTGAATTCATTGCATTTGTAAGTGAGATCTTTCTCTTGTCCTTGGGTACAAATCTACCTGTGGGTGCCAAGCTGGCGACCGTAGTTCATTTTGAGTGAGAGAGAGAGAGAGAGAGAGAGAGAATGAATTTGTGTTTTCTTCGCCTTCTAGCATCAGGGAATGAAGGTGGTCTGACTTTTTCTACGAAATTTACAGGAAACAGTGTGTACAGACATTCAATGTATTTGATTTTCTGAGGGAAATTGTGAGCAAGGTTCCAGATTTAGGTGGTCCTGATGCTGCCTTTGATGAACATGGCATTGCCAAAAGAAGGTTTGGAATGTCTAGTCTTGTGTCTTATTTGTAGTTTTGGACATTTAGAGTGTCTGATGACTAATGGCATTCTTAATGCTTCAACTTCAGGAAAGTTGCTGATGATGAAGACAATTACAGTGACGAGGAGCGCAATAGAAGCAGAAGAGTAGGTTTTTGTGCCTTTCGCCTTGATTATCTTCCATATATAATTGGATGTCATGTTATCTTGAGATTGTGTAGAAACTATATATGCTCAATGTCTACTATAAAAATGCCCTTAGTTTAAATGGTGTTATTTTTCCTGTAACAAGTTAATTGTATCACCAGTTGCAGATTGTTTCTGCCTCCACTGATTAGGAGGCATACGTGGTTTATTCTGCTCTTTTTATGTTTTCGAACAATATGACCTAGAACTCAACCCACAATTCCTTTGACAGCATGAGACTACCCAGACAAGTAGCAGTGGCAGAGGAAGAGGTAGGGGCAGAGGTAGAGGCCGTGGCCGTGGCCGGGGGACGAGACCCATGGAGAGGGAGACAGCTGCACAGGATGGGAAGTTCGAAGATGACCCAGACATTGTTCATCATGATGACAAGCACAGTCCAAACCTTGGAAGGCTAGACAAGGAATACGAGCCTGAAGATTTTAAGGATAATATTCCAGCTGGAAGAAATTTACGAACACCAGTCCATGACTTTGACCTGAATTTGGACTTGGATGAGAATGGAGAAACAAAACCAGTGCTAGCTTCTGTCCCTGCAAGCTACTCAACAAAACCAATTCCTGAATTGAAGCACGAGGAAGTACCTGGATGGTCTCTAGCAGACATTGAAAGGATGGATATCGATCCCATTCAACTTGCGAACTTAAATACAAGAATAGACGAGGAAGATTATGATGAGGAAGACTGAAGTTACTAGCAAGTGTTTTTGTTCTGCTGTATATGCCTTTTCACATCCTATAAGCAATGGTAGACAACAGCTAGAATTTAGATTACACAGTAGCTTCCCTAGGCATACATAGAGATCAGTTTGTTTAACCATTCCCATGTTTGAGACGGAGCGCATTAGTCATTACTTCTAAACGTTTCTGCACTTAGGTCCATATATAGTTTATCGGATATTTATGTGGCCTTTTCCAGGCAAGGGAGTAGGGCCATGGCCCATGAAAACCACAGTGGTCCTCGTGCCCAGGAATTGATTTGAATTCCCAACTCTCCTGTGGATATTGATTTGAATTTTAAATGTAATTCAATAAATAAAAAGTTATAACAAGCAAACAAGAGGGAGCCCTTAACTCTGATTTGCTAAGGAGATTATTTTTTAAAGATGTCTCCCCTTAATTTCCTTTTAAAAACCTTAGAACAGACCTGTTAAACTCAATGGGCTAAAGTTTCAATCCATTGTTGAACTGCCCGACACAGACCTATATTTGATAATGTCTGGACAGTATTTTTCGATGTACATCTAGATTGAATTAATGATTTTTTTTTTTTTGATTTCGATAGGAAGATATAAAAACAGTAAAAAAACACCTCAACCCAGATGATTTTATGGATGGTTTCAACAAAATGTGCTCTTATTTTCTTTTAATCCTTTTTTTGGTGGGGATGAAGGAATTAAATTGAGGGGGAGAAAAAACAAAATATGAACCTATTGTCGTTTCAATGAAGGAAGCAGGCACTCGTAAACCCGCTCCATGCGAGATAACACCATGAGCTTATAGTCAGTTTGAAGGCGGGGCTTCCCCAGATCAATAATATCCTGTCTCAACCTGTTCAAAACATATTTCCAATTAGCTTAAGACCAAACTCATACTTGCCTTGTACTAGAGAGAAGGATGGGAACATCTCAGCAAGAGATTTTGGATAATAAAGATAATAAGTAAAACTCGGAGATGACACTAACCATTGCCATTCACCAGTGGCTTTTGCATGCCCTTCTACAGCATGGAACAGGCGATCCAGACAATGTAACACTAATCCAAACATGCATTGTGACTCCTTTTCCTGTAAAACAAATGAAACGAGGGTTGATGTATCTATATTCATAATGCATTGGCAACAATCGAACGCGTTTGAATCATTTAAAAGTGGCAGCAGGAGAAAAGAAACTTTAAAACTTTTGGTCCTTTGACAAGAGCTGAAAGAGTGACCAGCAAGTGACTCCCAAATTCAAATCTCGTACCAAGACCGAGAGAGGAGATAACATCGTGAAAGTTGGACAACAACTCCAGAACTTTCAAAGAAAACACTAGCCATGGCGCATCATAATTTTTTTTAAAATTTTTTCTCATATCAAGCAGTTCTTTAAAAAATAGGCCGGGATAAGCACAGTGAGATGCCATAATAAAGATCAGGCAGCCAAATTTCCAAGTACATTTACAGGAAGATTTATAGCAGGACATAAAAAATAAACATATTGACATCTCCTATGCAACCAAGATTTTTGTATAAATCAGAGTTTATCCAAGTTTTACCAATCATTCATCTACTCAGAAAAGAATAACACACAAGACCATAAACCCTCTTATACCTTCTGTCAAGTAGAAAAGATAATGGCCGATAACTAATGCATGAGCGCGAGGGAAAAGCCCTGTCATTCTAGGGTTAAAAAAGATAGATAATTCATATAATGCAATAAATTTCATTTACACTACAAATCTAACAAAAATATCAATAGATACTAAATAATTGAGGTAACAGGGAGAACTAGGAAAAATAGTCCTAAAAGAAATCCAGATTCATACCAGTCCTTGGTTAACGTAAGTTTGATATTGAGCAATTCCTTTCTCAACCTCCACTAAAAGCAGTCTCCTTTGGCGCCGAGCAATTCTGCCCCTTCCTTCTGCTCTAGTATCCTGATACAAATAAGCAGAATCAGCAGCCACGGAATAAAAATAGGGAAGAAACATGAACAGTGAAAGGATTGAAGCATTTACAGAATTTGATTGTTAATCTCATTAGATACTGCATGTTTATTCAATATGCCAATTGTTTTAAATGGACCACGAATCCTAACCTAAGGCTCAAGTGCATGCTCTATAGAAGTATAGAAAGTGTTATGCTCAATAGAAGTATAAAGAATGTCATGCTAGCTGAAAAGAGTCCAAGCTTTTTTATGCCAAATGAAAAGCAATAAATATCCTCTCTCTCACAACAATCATTAAATTCTTCCCTGGATTAAAGAATAAAACACCACAGCAACAGTAAGCATGGGAATTTACTCAAGCTGAACTTGTCTGAACTAATGATACGCATGTGTATTATCAAATATCTTTTAATTCCTATACCTGGTAACAGACTAATTCTCTTCACGAAGTTATTCTAAGAAAGGTAAAAAGATAAGTAAATTCTTACCCGTTTAAACCATGCACGCAATAACATTAGCAGCAAAAGAGAGAGAAAGAAAGCCGGTAAGGCCGCAAGAATAGCAAAATTGATCTCATTTGCCTTGAGAATCTGATCAAGTTCAAGCATCGCCCTGATTAAAGATAAAGACAATTGAGATAAACATGGTCAAGGAACATTAATCATCTATCCATGATACAAGGTCAGTGAACTCACGTCTCAATATCCAATTTTAGCTTCTGAACCTGAAATAGCAAGAACCCATTATAACATGGCCAAAAGTATAAGAAAATAACATAATAAAAATAGTCTGCAGTACCTGGATCAGCAAGGCATGAGCAAGCTCTCCCTTTAAGAGATTCTGAATAGGATGAGTAAGTTCCTGTTCATACCTGCATTAAAATTAAAAAGATGATTATTTTGCTTTTCAGTCAAAAAAACAAAGACTGCCAGAAAACATAATTAGATCAGTAATTTTGTAGAAGTAGCAATTCAAAATAATGACATGAAGTTAACACCAAAGAAAAAAAGAAGTTAATAATTCAGAGAGATTTTAAGAGTATTAGCCCCTCTCAAAAATATAAAAAACCTACCACCTTCCTAGATAAATTTATCAAAGATATGATTTGAGTTTCTTTAACTTTGAGTAAAATTTCTATTGACTGAAAGCAGATTTAACCAATGTACATGGGGATTATGTCCCTTAAAACATTCTTTGTGCACACAAATGTGTCCAAACAAAAACAAACTAGTATCAAATTTGTCTTGTCAATGCCTTCAGCAAATTTACAGCAGATAAACGACTCAATCAACTTCTACATTTGACAAACACATATGATGCACATGAGGACATGGTGAAAATAGTTTAGTAATAAGCCATTCTTATTGCCATTGGCAATCATCAAAGTAGGATCTTTAAACAAAGCAAAAGGATTAGGAACAGTGGCTGAGGGTGGACAAATTATAGAACGAGTGAGGACTTGAATAGAATACACATAATTTTGAGGGGCCATATAAGATTTTATTAAAAATAAACTAAAATCGAAGGGCTGTATTGTGAAATGGAAAAATCTTTCATGAGGAAACTAAGTGGGTAAGAACAGAAAGCCAATACAAAAAAAGATAACTATTGCTTGGTTCCCCTTATTTTTCAATATTCTGGTGCCTCACATGCATGTTCTTCAACTTTCCGGTTCCCCTTTATTGTTCCTTGGATGCATCAATTTACTATACTAAACAATGAGTCAGGCATGGCAGAAAACTAGTAATAGAGTTAATCATTCCCTTCTGTTGTTCTATACTTTAAGTGTCGTATGGTATTTGTCGAAATATAATATCAAGGGTAATGATAAAGACCCAGAATAAGTTCGGCAAAGAAGTCAACCTGTCCATAACTATTTCAAGCATTTCCTGATCTGATGCATGTTCAGGGAACTTTTGACCTTTTGTCTGCTCGCTGAAAGCCAATAACATTCTGCATCTCAAGCAAATAATTAAGTAAGGGTTGAGTGAAGATCAACCTAAAAGAAGAAAAACACTTTTAAAAGAAAATGATATGGCAGCATCTTCTGTGCAAGGGGATAGCAAGACCCCTTTTTGATTAGTTCCATACACCAACATGATATTCTCTTCCATTATTTTTCAATGTCAACTTGTCTTTTTTTTATCATGTGAACATGTTATGTATTCTTCACTGTTCTTGACCCTCTCTTGTCATAATTAAGCTTGCAGGTAATTTAGAAACTATATAAGCATTATCTTCAGAGTCAAGGTCGAATACATGAAATACATGATTGTCAATAAGGTTCACGGCATCATTGCAGCTGAGTCCAAAACATACACACTATAGTTTTATGAGATTGAAGTACAATACTCTTTTTGTATAACAAGTAATCACCATCCAATATAATAGGTAATGAGTCCACAAGAAATGGGAGAAAGTTTAACCTATGCAGCGAACTGGCAGTCAACTGCACTTCTTCTACCTCCATCACACCTTTGTGTCTCTTCCTGAATGTATCAAAAAGTTCATCTCTAATGGACAGAAGCTGTTCATAAATCAAGTTCCACACCATTAAATCATTTGAGCAAATAATCCCTAAATAACAAGGAATATATAAATAATTTGGAGACAAAGAAAGTGTGAGTCCAATGCTTATTATGAAATGACTTCCTCTGAATATTCAAAGGGATCCAGAACAAATGGAAGGATACAAAAAGCACACTTGAGGGCCAAAATGTCTCCTTGAATAACCAGCTTATTCTGAGATTTTAACATGAAGAAGCCCATATATTTACGCCACATTGGCCAAGTATTGAGTTAACGAGATATTTTGAGATGATTACAAAAATCAAACATTGGTTCTTAAAAAACTCAGGACATGATTTTTTTTTATTATTATTATTATCTTTGCCTGGTCGACTTCGATGAGATTGAGATATGCACTCGTGATTTATAATAGGTATGGAATCCTATACTTAATTATCTAGAATAAACTAAAAGATTGGTCAATTAAGGGATTTGATCGACTCTTGCATAACTAAAGTGAGACTTATGTACACAACAAACAACAACTTGGCCATAAGGAAATTCATTCTTTTCTTTCAAATTATCTTGGTATCAAAGCTTTGTTGACTAAATGATCACAAGTTCAAATCTCATTACCCCTATTTTTTCTTCAAATTAAAATTAATTTTATAACATAAGGTAGTTTGAGTTTATGTAAGTTTCAAGCTCAAAAAATTC